ACAATAGAGAAATATAGAATGGTTACAGGAATTCAGAAAAGGGAAATGTTACTTGTGTGGCAGTGGGTGAGGAACAGAGCAGACTGAGCTTTGAAGAACTAGCAGCATTTATTGAGTGCTTACAATATGCCCACTATTGTGGTAGGCACTTTATGTGTTTTCTCATTTCAAGAGTTTGGGTATGTTGAGTGGTAGAAATGGACATTTCGAATCGTTATTTCAAATAGAAGGACTTTAAACAGGGAATTTGCTACAAAGATGTTGAAATACCTAGAAGAACAAAAGAAACAATTTGACCATAAATCCACTGCTGTCCAGTGGATTCCGATTTACAGATTAGAACTGCCGAATAAAGTTTCCAAGACCGTAATCTTTATGTAAGCAGACTATCACATTTTCTCCCACAGAGTGGCTGGCGGGTTCAAACCACCGACCTTTCAGTTAGCAGCCGTGTGCTTCACCACTGGGCCACCAGGACTCCTTAATTTGACCATAAGCCCCACATCATCATTCACAATTACATTCTCAATGCATAGCACAGTACCTGGCATGTGGCAAAAGTTATAATAAATAATTATTGAATCTATGATTACACTTGTAGTCCCTGGGTGGTGCAAACAATTCATGCACTCTGCTGCTAACCGAAAAGTTGGAAGTTTGAGTGTGTGTGTGTGCTGTCAAGTTGACTCTAACTCACACAGAGTACCTCGGAAGAAATGTCTGGTGTTCTACTTCTGAAAAATCAGCCATCAAAACCCTTTGGAGCACAGTTCTACTCTGACATACTTGCAGTTGCCATGAGTCAGAATCAACTCAACAGCAACTGTATATCATTACACTTTAGGGGTGAGATTCAGTCTGTAAACCTAGCTGAAGGCCACTAGTTCTGTTGAAAAACATCAGGATACCTGTATAACTCTAATAATTCAGTGGAGATGGATATGTAGTTTGACCTTTGGTAGAAAATCGTGTTCAAAGCCTTCTGTTCAAAATTGTCAATGGATAACACTTGAGTGTTCATCACGTAATAGGTATTATTCTAAGCACTTTTCTAAGTACTTAACGTGTATTAACCTAACCCTTATATAATTCTATGATAATGAGATCATCATTTTCCATTTTATAGATGACAATGAAATTGAGACAAAGACCTTTTAAGTTACATGTCTAAGATCACACAACAAGAAAACAGCCGAGCCAAGCTTCCACCCACACAGTCTGGCTCCAGAGTCTACGCTCTTAATCTCCACACTATATGTCTCTCCCTTGCTCAAGTGATGAAAGTTTAACCCTCATTTCTAGCTTTATTTCCCATTTTCCCTATTGTACTCTAGAGCAAAAACCAGCTAGCTGTTTCCTCTTCTTTCTGCGCCCACGACAAGACTATATTTTCCAGCTTTCCTTGTGGTTACTGTAGTCATGTGACTGAGTTCTAGCCAGTGGAATCTGAGCAGGAGTGATACACATTACTTCCTGGTCTGGCAAATTAATCCTCTCGCCTGTGAGGCTGCATGTTCTTTCTCTTTTTTTCAGTGTAAGGAAGGTGAGCACGGTGAACTTGAAGAAGAGTCATATACCAATCAGGAACATGTGTGTTAGAATTTAAGTGAACATGAGATAAATCTCTATCAATTTTATGCCATTATACATGACAGAGTCATTTTGTTACATCAGTTAGAGTTACCTTAACCAATATATACATGAATTGAGCTGATCTATTGTCCCTTGAACATGCCTCTGGCTTTTGCACACATATTTTTCTTTAGAATTCTCATTCTCTCCTAGTTACCCACATCCTAAATGTTATTCAAGGCCTAGACCAAGTCTAATCACCTTTAAGCAGCTTTCTTCCACTTCCATCAGCCACATTATCTCGTTCCCTTAGCTTCCTGTAGCACTTTGTTATCTGTATCTCCTGTAAGCCTCTATCATAGCTCCAATTCTATATACTTTGTTTTCCAATGAGATTGTGAGTTCCTCAGAGTCAAAGATCATGTTTTTATGCTTCTTGTGTGATTCTAAAGTATATAACATAGTGTTGTGCCCTTGGGAATTTTCAATAAATATTTGTAGGAGAAATGAATGTGTAAATGTATTAGGCTCAATAATGTCCATTTTCCTTTAAAAAAAAAAAAAGTTCCTTCATTGCTCAAGCAGGAAGGCATGTAAACTCTAATTTACTGGATTATTATTCTTTTCACCAATATATACATTCTAACACTTTTTGACAACTGCTTGGAGGAGACAGAAGGCATGCTTATCAAATTTCAGATGATACAAAACTGGAAGTAATAAATTACGCATAAGATGACAGAATCAAAACTAGACAAGTTGGAATGAAGCAGATAGTATTTAATAAGGATAACTCCAAAATTAGGTTTAAAAAAAATGAGATGCCCAATTTCAGCATGGAAATACAAGGCTAACACCAATTTGCAGGGACAAACTTTCAGGTTTTAATTGGCTGCTAGGTTGACATGAGCCCTGAATGGTACACAGGGCTCCGTCATAGTTAGGCTCAGGGCACTGGGTTGCAGTTGAAGTATTCAGGCTCCAACAAGACATAGGCATGACTGAGGTTGCTAGATGGAGGCAACTGGAGCTGGGATGAAGCCTCAGTGGGGATAAAGTCCACAGTAAAGGAGGGAATGAGGTCCCATATTTTAACCTGAGCAAGTTCAGCACGTGGGTTTACTTTCACCTGTAACATTGGTGGGAATCTCCAGTCTGAGGACACCATTAAGTAATTTCTGATGCTAGGCTGGTGCCAATAGGGCAGCCTGAGTTCCCTAAGAGTTTTGCCTCAGAAGTGGAACCTACTAAGTCTTAAAGATTTACTGTCTTACCTTTGGTTCTAATTCCCAGTGTCAAGGTCACTGTCCTTCACTTGTTGTGGTTAGTTGCTGTCAAGTTGATTCCAACTCATGGCACCCCTATTGTGTCAGAGTAGAACTGTGCTCCATCGGGTTTTCAAAGGATGATTTTTCAGAAGTAGATTGCCAGACCTTTCTTCTGAGGTGCCTCTCAGTGGACTCGAACCTCCAACCTTTAGGTTAGTAGTCCAGAACATTAGCCATTTGCATCACCCAGGGAATCCTGTCCTTCACTTCAGACCTCTCATTTTTGAAGCTGGGAAATGCCATGTCATCTGGGTAAATTCAAGTAACCTTTGGGGAAAAGGAGGCGAGAGAAGATAGATCGTATCATCTCTGGGCTGAGCTGGGACAGCTAGTCATTCCAGGATCCTGAGATACATATTCTCCTAGAAGCCAAATTTCTTTCTGGGATCAGAATACTGGCAGGAAGGCTTTGACCTAGACCTTGGCATTGGGCCACCAAAAAAGCTAATATACTCTTAGGCAGTGTTACTAGAAGTCTAGCATCTGGAACAAGGGTGCTGCTGTACTGGTGCTGGTCAGACCACACAGGAAGAATTATTTTCTTTCCGGAAACCATGATTTAAGAGGGATACAGGCAGACTGATGTGTATCAAAAGGAAGATGACCAGAATGTTGAAGGGACTAGAAACCAAATCATTACTTTTGGTGGTTCAAGTAAAAGGTCTGGAGGGGGTCAGTATGGGAGGGGGGTGTCAGGCAGAATAAATATCACAACTATCTTCAGATATGTGAATGCTGTCTCGTGAAAGAATGCAAGCATCTTAGGTTGTATCAGAAGGCAGAACTGGCACCAATGGGCTAAATTTACAGGGATTTAAGCTCAAAATGAAGAATTCTTTTAACCAATATAGCTCTTCGAAAGTGGAATAGACTTTGTGAGTTTTAAATGTTCAAGTAAAGATTGGGTAACTGTCATAGATGTTTTAGCTGGAATTCAAGAGGAAGTTAAATGAGGGGTTCTAAAGTCCCATTCAAATCTAATGTTCTGTGATTTCACCAATCTGTAAATTAGAAGTGTCCTACAGAACGGTGAGGAAAGAAGGTTATTACCTGAATTTTTTGGAGTTAGAACCTGGTTCTAAAAGAGGATTCCCCGCCCCCAAAAAAAAAGAGCAGAACCCATAGGTTATTTAGTCTGGGATATATGGGAGGGAAATACAGTCTAGTGCCATTATAGAAGGATGGCCACTCTAAGGGGTATGGAAAAACAAGTGTTCAACAAATACCACAGGACTTCCGTGGAGTCTCTGTATGGGAGTGAGGGGAAGGCCAAGGAGGGCAGAAACCCTTTTTCCCAACGACAAGGAGCTAACTGTGATGCTACAAGTTTGACACTGCGCAAGGTGAACACATATGGATTGTGGGGGAAACACACTTGCTCCTTGCTTGGGTCTTGGAGAGAACACGCCATAATCATTGTTCGTGAGACCTGATTGTCCTGGAAATACTGTGAGTTTCTTTGTGTCTCTTTCTCTCTACATATGTGTTCCCCCCCCTCGCCCCCCCCACCTCCAACCTCTCTCTCAGATGGAAAGAAGTATGTTCTTTTTCTAAATCTCAGGTCTCATGTGGGTTGAGAGGTCATTTTTAGAGAAAGCCCAGGTAAGGTGGACTTGAGTGCGAAGACAGATTCTCACACTAGGAACCCAGGGCATGATACCAAGTGCTGAACAACCCGGAACAAGAGAATGGGAGAGAGGAGGGAAAGGTCAAACTATTCACCCATAACAAAATCAGCTCATCCCTCCCCTCTTGACCAAAAAGAAGCCCTCCAGTAGCTCTGTCCAGATCATTGCCTCCTCGGCAAGCCGTGTTGGGGGCGACGTGAAGTGTGCACCTTGCAACGGAACACAGGTCCAGGTAGGGGTGACTTTTGGCCAAGGTCCCCTCACCTGCGCACTCCTCTTGACCTCATCGTTTTCTCAACCGTCTTCCCCAGCCCCTTTCCTCGCTCGGTCCTTCCCTTACAACTCCCACCTCGGTTGCCGCAAAAACCGGGAGCGCTGGAGTCGGCGCGCGGGATGCGCGCGGGCCGGCGCCGGAGCTCTGGGCATGCTCAGTCGCGCGGGCAGGGCTCCGGGCGCGAGCCGCGCTCCTTCGGCACCACATTCACCCGCTGCCAGGAGAAGCCGCCCGGTGCTTGGAGGCTCAGTGCGTTCTGCCCGCGGTAGGACCCTGCCGCCGCGCCCCGTGCCGCCACCTCGTCGCCTGCGGGAGTCATGGCAGGGCTCGGCCACCACGCCGCCTTCGGCCGGGCCACCCACGCCGTGGTGCGGGCGCTGCCCGAGTCCCTCGTCCAGCATGCGCTGAGGCGCGCCAAGGGCGAGGAGGTGGATTTCGCCCGTGCGGAGCGGCAGCACCAGCTCTACGTGGGTGTGCTGGGCAGCAAGCTGGGGCTGCAGGTGGTGGAGCTGCCGGCCGACGAGAGCCTCCCGGACTGCGTGTTCGTGGAGGACGTGGCCGTGGTATGCGAGGAGACGGCCCTTATCACCCGACCCGGGGCGCCGAGCCGGAGGAAGGAGGTAACTGTCCGCCCGCGAACGCGAGGGGCGCGGCCGGGGGCGCGCGCTGGGCCCTCCCCGCCGCCCTCGGCCGAGTTGCCCAGGGAATCGCGGAATTGGCACCCAGGCTAGTTCAAAACTTCCCATTTTGGGAAGCGGGTGAGAGGGAGAGTCAGAAGTTCATTGTTCACGCCTCCCGACTGTCTGTCGGCGCAGCTTGGGTGCCTTCGAGACGAACCGATTGAAGGTGCGGACTCGGGCAGGTGGGTGGGGTGGGGAATCCATCTCACAAGCATTTTTATTAGTAAAGATTAAACAACGCCAACAAACACATCACAACTCTGAGTGTTTCCCAGTAAGTGGGGACAGGAAGGCGTGCCGCCCTCAGCGGGCGGGCGGAGGCTGGGCGGGGGCTTCAGTCAGTGACACTGAAGCCCCCGAGTCCGGCCTGTTGCTCGGAGTAGTGCGGGCTGGATGAATAAACGGGGTGTCAGTGTTCACAGATCTGGGGGTGTTCCGACTTACTTTTTAGTAATGGCAGGTGAGTCCCGCAGAACGGGACTGGCAATTGAATGAATGTAAGGAGAGTGAGTGTTTTGTTGGTGAGCTGTGGTAAATGTGTGGATGAATGGACTCGGTTTAAAAAGCTGTACCTTAAGTGTGGAGTGTTGGGTTTGTGGGTGTGGGTGTTTGGTTAGAAATCATTCTTTCGCAAATTTCAGAATTTTTATTCTCTCTCTCTTCTTTTAATTGTTAGCAATTAAGAGAGCTTTTTGTGTTCTTGGGAGGGATATTGACTACTTTAAAATATTGCAGCTTGTGAAAATGGCTGTGATTGCTTTAAACACAGTGTAGGTTAGGCGGGAGACAAATAGAGTGAAATTGGATTTTAAAATGCCATCTGTCCTGGGATTCTTCTCATTGCCCATTGAGAGCCCAGGCTCAAGACTCCACGTTGCTACTGACATCCACTGGATGCAAGGAGCTGATGGTTTCCTTCATATCTGGAGATTTAGGGATTTTTTTAATTATTATTATTCACTTCACACTGGAAACACCTCATAGAGTTTATGATTGAAATTTGTTTATCCAACACATGCTGCAGTACTTGGCTGATGGAATCTTGTGTGGTCTTAAAGAATAAGCATATCCCATTTATTTCTCCATGAGATAATCACCATTTTTTCACCGTGCGTTAGCAGAAAAGCAAAAGAGTAACAGGTTTCATTCTCTTAGCCCTTTTAGTTCCTTTGCCATGCCTCTCCATCTTTGAATCCGTGAGGTAGGTGCTCCACTCTATTTTTTTTAAGTAATTTATTTTATTTTTGTTTTTGTTGAGAATATACACAGCAGATCATACACCAATTCAGCATTTTCTGCATGTACAATTCACTGACATTGATTATATTCTTCAGGTTGTGCAACCATTTTTACTTTTCTTTTTCTGAGTTGTTCCTCCATTAACATAAACTCACTGCCCCCTAAGTTTCCTATCTAATCTTTCCAGTTGCTTTTTGTCAATTTGATCCCATACGGAGAGATCCTAGAAGAGCTCAATGCTGAAGGCAAACATTCTTTACTAGTTAAGCTAAACTTCAGGGGATATTTTTGGTTTAAGGTTTAAAGATTATCTCGGGGCAGTAGTTTCAGGTAATCAACCAGCACAAAAGCTTCTAGAGTTAATAGAGGAATTTCGCAAAGTTGCAGGGTACAAGGTCAACAAACAAAAATCAGTTGGCCTTCTGTATACCAGCAATGAGAAATCTGAAAGGGAAATGATTCCATTTACAATAGCATCTAAGAGAATAAAATACCTAGGAGTTTAACTAGGCATGTGAAAGACATATACATTGAAAATTATAAAGCACTGCTGAAAGAGATTAAAGAAGACTTAAATAAATGGCAAGATGTTTGGGGTTCATGGATTGGAAGACTTAATATTGTTAAGATGTCAGTACTATCCAAAGCAGTCTATAGATTCAACACAATCCCAATCAACATTACAACACCCTTCTTTACCGAAATGGAAAAACCAGTTCTCAACTTTATATGGAATGGTAAGAGGCCCTGAATAGCTAAGGCAATGTTGAAAGAGAAGAACAAAGTAGGAGGACTCACACTTCCTGATTTTAAAACATATTATACAGCTACAGTAATTAAAATAGCCTGGTACTCAGCCCAGGTGCAAGAACTAGAGGGCAGGAGGGGACAGGAAAGCTGATAATAGGGAATTCAAGGTCGAGAAGGGAGAGTGTTGACATGTCGTGGGATTGTTAACCAGTATCATAAAACAATATGTGTACTACCTGTTTAATGAGAAGCTAGTTTGTTCTGTAAATCTTCATCTAAAGCACAATAAAAAAAAAAGAAAAAAAAAACCTGGTACTGGTATAACAATAGACACATAGACCAATGGAATAGAGTTTAGAGTTTAGAAATAAAACCACACATATGTAGTCAACTAATTTTTGACAAGGGTACTAAGTCCATTCAATGGAGAAAGAAGAGCTTCTTCAATAAATAGTGTTAGGAAATTGGATTTCCACATGCAGAAAACTGAAATAGGATATATGCCTCACACCACACACAAAAACAAATTCAAAGTGGATTAAAGACCTGAACGTGAAAACTGAAACCATAAAATTCTTAGAAGAAAATGCGGGGACAGACTGTCAGGCCTAGCTTTTAATAATAATAATAATAGTAAACCAAAGCCATTGCCAAGTCGATTCCGACTCATAGCAACCCTCTAGGACAAAGTAGAACTGCCCATAGGGTTTCCAAGGAGTGGCTGGTAGATTGGAACTGCAGACTTTTTGGTTAGCAGCTGTAGTTCTTTACCATTGCATCACCAGCGCTCTTAACTTTTAATAATGGATTATCTAATATAACAACAAAAGTACAAACAGCAAAAGACAAAATAAATGGTACCTCATGAAAATTAAAAAATTTTGTTCATCAAAAGATTTTACCAAAAAGGTGAAAAGACAAGCTACCAACTGGGAGAATACCTTTGGAAATCATATATCTAATAAGAATCTAATAACCAAAATATATATAAAACTTCAACAACTTAAAAACAAAAAGACACATAGACCCACTCTTATTTTAAACTGACAAAGAATGTAACCCCGTTTGAATACTTTCTATATGTTCTAGGTATAGAGCAGAGCTGTGGTTTGTACTTGTAAGAGTAAAATAGGTTTTAAGGTGGTACTTCCAAAATGGTACTTGTTTGATGAGGATAGTCCAGTTTCCTCTTAAGAGACTGTCACCATATTTATTTATCTACTTCATTTTATTCATATAACAAAATCTTGCAAATTTTTGGCTTTGCTGATAGTAAAGTGGGCAGCGATCTTTAACTCCCTGCCCAGATTTTGAGGCTTACATTTTAAATTGGCTACGTTCTTATATCAACCTGGTGGCCCACTGCCAGGAGTCTCATAGTGCAGTGGATAAAAACATCAGATTGGATCTCAGCACCACCACTTCCTAATTTTGTGACCCTGGGGAAGTATCTCTTACCTCAGTTTTCCCTCCTGTAAAATGACCATAATAATACCTATTTTGCAAAGCTGTTGTGATAAATTTATTAATCCATCTGAAATTATAAGGCAGGACATTTAATGAATGTTGATGTTTATTATTATTCATTTACAGTGGGTCATGGAAAATTTACTCCTTGGGTAGTAAGAAGTCCATTGTACATTGATGTAGTTACAGTGACAGTTTCTTTTCCCAGGGTGCAGGGGAGCTTTCTTCACACTTTAGTTTCTTCCTAATTGGCTGCGTGGCACTGCTTCCCAGCTTGGGTCGCCTCCTGATGTGTGGCCTTTCCCAAAAGCACCTTTGCTATTGCACATGATCTGGGTCACCAGGGTAACAGACCTTCCTGCCAGGGAGAAGAATATGGGCAGTCTCTGTAGGACTGGGTACTTCTGAAGAAGGCCATGCAGGACAACACTCTTTGATATCTCTCACAGCACCAGCTCAGTGCCTTGCTTGGTAGGTGATAATAAATGCTTGTTCAGTGACTGAATGAAATGCTAATTAGCTAATACAGACAATCTGGTACAGTGAAACCTGTGAGAGCCAGAACTCGATGGGATTGCCTTCTTTCTCCTGGTCTCCCAAGTTTTCCGCATTTGATAGGGTGCAGTCTTCTTACCGCTTTTCTGTCACTCATTTTAGTGAAAAATATTTTCGTTTTCCTTCTCTGACAGGTTTCTACCTTACACAGTTTCCGGCTTTCGGAACTGTAGTTAACCTCAAGGCCTGCCTTACATTGCTATATTGTTTTTTTCATGTGACACCTGCTTTCCTGTGAAATTCCACAACGGCCAAGGCATTATTTTAAAACTATTGTCACTGAACCCCTTGCCTCCAGTGCCCTCACTCTTCATTGCATTCTCCACACTGTAGCCAAGGTGGTCTTTTTAAAACTCAAATCTGATCATGTCTTTCCTCTCATTGAAGTTCTTGTTGGGCCCCCATTTTTCTTAGATAAACCGTATTGAACTGGGCTCTGCTTGCCCTTCGAGCTTCAGCTTCATCTCCAGCCACTAGAACACACCTAACCCCAGCCACCTCCCAACTCTAGGTACAAGCTGGGTTTTTTTTCACTCAAACTCACCATGTTATTGCTTTTCTGGGCCTTAGTATGCATTTCTCCTTTGCCTGGGACATTTTCCCTCAGTCCCTCCTCCTCCCTTTTACTTAGCAGTTCCTATTTATGCTTGATTCTCAGTTTCCTATTATCATTAATATTAATACTAATATTTATTGGGTGCTTGCCATTTGCCAGACAATGTGCCAGATTCATGACGTGTATTTAATTTAATCCTGATATCAACCCTTTGAGCTTGATACTGTACAGTACCATTATTCCTTATATTATTCCTTATATATATATTCATTATAGTCGAAGACACTAAAGCTTAGAGAGATTAAGTAAAATTGACCAAGATTGGAGAATTGGTTAGCCGTGGATCTAGGATTTGAACTCAGGTGTGCAGGAC